TCTAGAAAGTCACAGTAATTCCTCGTTGTAACATTCACTACAGGACTCATCAAATAGTATTTTGATAAAATAAATGTTCAAAGGAGGCACACACACGTATTAGTTAAGACCTGTATTGACTTTGAAGACTTTCATCCCAGCTCTGGGGAGGAGAGCATAGGAAGATAAGAGGTGGCAGTGCTTATGAACGTGAGCGCAGCTCAGGAGTCAGACAGCGACACAGCCGTCCATCTCCCTTTTACACGACAGCCATTGTTTCCAGCCTTTCCATCGGCACTTCAGTCACAACGTCTCAGAAAGGGGTGTTTACCACTGCTTCATGAGAGTGGGATAAAGTAACTGGGGAAAACAAATCCTTTAGGAGTTTAACTAAAATGACTTAATGATGATCTGTATAATAAAATTAACCTACAGAATGTCGATGTTTTATGATGGTGTGCAGTGATTATGCCATCTTCTTCTTTTTGTATTTACATCATTTCCACCCTTTTTTTTATCCCTCCATATTCTCCCATACCCCAGCATTCTCAAATTTATCACCTTTTCTGTAATTGTTCTTGTTTTTATAATTATTATTACACATAAAAACATATATGCACAACTTCTGGGTCTATTTAATGTTGCCCTTATGTACATATGTACATGTGATTAGAGGTGACCACATTGGATTGCCTAACCTATGAGGAGGGGCCTGATAAAGCTGGATAAAGCTGGAGATTCTCCCTCTTGGGAGCTCTTCTTCTAGTGGTGGGACCTTGTGAAAACTTCCACATTCGCCTTGGCATGTGACCTGGTAGTCAATAGGCGGGTCTTTTTTCTAAAATGTATTATGTATACAGTGTTCTGCCTGCACCAGATCTCATTATTGATGGTTGTGAGCCACCGTGTCATTGGTGGGAATTGAACTTAAGCCCTCTGGAAGAGCAGCCAGTGCTCTTAACCTCTGAGCCATCTCTCCAGCCCTAAACAGGTCTTTTTTGTGCTGAGACCCCATGGAGCAGCTATCTGGTCATGTCTAGGGGATACTAGCTAGTAACATGTTCTCATTCTCTTATTCTTACAAACTTTTATCCCTTCTTCTAAGGTTCTTCCATTCTTAGGTGTAGGGGTTATATTGTAGATAGTTGTACACTGGCTTGGATTGGATACCCCACGGCCACCTATGTGCATTTTAACCAATTGTGATTCTCTATAATAGTCTCCATTTGCAGCAAAAAGAAGCTTCATTGATGAGGAGTGAAAGCGACATTTATCTATAGGTATAAAGATACATATTTACAGTGCAATTAGAAATTCTATTGCTTTAGGAAAATATCACAGTAGGAGGTTCCCCCTTAGGCTCTATGGTCCCTCCAGCTACAGGTGGTTGGGTATATATTACAGCAATGATTCCAGTCTAATTTACAGACCCTTATGTCCAATTAAATAGCTAAAATTGAACACTTGTCTATTTGTCTGAACAATAATCAACTCTGAAGAGATAAAAGGCCTCAGAGTGAAATTTGAACTGATGAAATTTCTAGAATAAAATATGCTTTATATTATCCCGAGGTCCCAATATACATGCTTCCCTGTACCAGATGACGATGAGAGAGCTGTCCACACTAAACGTCCTTGCCAGGTTTACAATGAGGACAATCACTAGTACATATTGAGAGGGGGAAGTCAACTTTTTATCTTGTTACCATTTGTACAACTCGGTGTGTCTTGACTACAATCCTATGGCATGAATCAGCAGAATGATTCATAATCAGGATTACTTCTTCTCTAAATTTGAAAATGATGTCATATAAGGAGACTCTTATTTCTAAGGTAGGAAGAGTACATTGTGCATATATTAAAAAAAAGTGTGAGAGGAGTTATTGAGGGAAGAAATGTAAAGATCCCTAGTTTGGGGCTGGCGAGATAGCTTAGCAGATAAAGGAACTTGCTATGCAAGCCTTATGACTGAATTCGATTCCTGGAACTTTTGTAAAAGTGGAATCAGAGAACTGACTCCGCAAATCTGTCCTTAAACCACACACACACACACACACACACACACACACACACATACTCCCGCATATCACCACCAACAATAATAATTGTAATAATAATAAAAATAATTTTTTTAAATACTGGTTTGTGTTACGTATTTAACCAGCATGATTTTGAGCAGCTTTAACAAAGCTTTCATTAAGATTTTCATCTTTAAGTAAAACTTCTAAATAGGGCTCTGATAGTTTAACAAGGTCATTATATATATATATATATATATATATATATATATATATATAAGAATATTTAATGAGAAGGCATGAATTTGAAAGAAAGCAAGAAGAAATGTGTGGGAGAGTTTGGAAGGGGGAAAGGGGGAGGCGTGAACTATGTAATTATATTATAATCTCAAAAAATAAAAGAAATAATTTTCAAAGGTAATCACACACCAAACTACTAAACTGACTAGGAATTATACAAATTGCCTAGTAATGTAAGTTAACTTTGCACTTCTTTAGAATGTACCAATGAAAATGCTTACAAACACTTAAGGAGATGGATCACATAGCAAGCCATAATTAGTGGTGTCTTCAGAGAGTCTGGAGCTGCTGAAATTGCCCTTACATTGTTCTTTCCATATTTTCATTCAGTGGGCAGCATGCTTTTTCCACTTTGTGTGAAAAATGAGGGCTGAAAACACCCATAACCCATACTTTGAAGAAATATGGAACACAACTGTCAGCTTTGAACAACCTCAAATTCAATTCTTTGTCCCCATTTGGTCTTCATTTGGGGAAATTTATAAACAGGAATATTTAAATATAATGCTTTTTCTTATAATGAAGTCATATTCCCAAGTCATGGGAATATCCAGTGACAGGCTGTCTTTTATTATTTATTCTGTCAGTCATTTAATTGTTCTTGGTGCTTTTCTCCAAAAAGCGGATGTGTGTGTGTGTGTGTGTGTGTGTGTGTGTGTGTGTGTGTGTGTGTCCTATAAAAAAGTTCTTGGCTAAATTGGTCTTAGTCTAAAACTTACATTCATGTTAATGGGTTTGCATTTGGATTCTGCTGAGAGGTTTGTGCAAATGTTTGTCTGTCCATGCTGACCCAAAGGCACTGATGTCATTGGCTATATATAGTAAAGATTCAACAGAGAGGATGACACATCTTGCTTGGTTTCCAATATTGTTTCTCTTTCTTAACAAAATTGACAGTTAAGATTTGACAGATTTCACAAAAAATTCCCTGTTTCTATCTTCTGTTAAAATCTCACAATGTTCACCCTATATTCCTTGTGGGAATAAAGAGTTGGTTATGAGAGTTCACTATCAGCTTTGATTGAAGCATAACTTTCTAGTGGGTCACAGTCCTTATAGCATATCACACTTACCTAGATGGTAAAAACAGCAATTTGGCTTTGTTTGTTTTATGTAAAACTCCCTTAAAGTCTAAATAAAAACTAAAGCAGAAGCATTTTATTTAAAGAAAAATATGAAACTCATTTTTGTTTCTGAGAGTAATGTTATGGAGTATTTAATAAATTTGGGCACATGCTGATACATCGTATTGGACCATTTGGTTCACAGGACTTAACACTCAGGTGCTATTAGTGAGTGAGTCTGAGCTCCAAGCTTCAGCCGTTTGTTTTACCTGAACTTTGGTCCTGGGTGTCAGAGTAACCTTCCTCCTCAGAAGTTCTGTTGGTCCTCCTTCCAGAACTGTGGAAGCTTTCTAGTTGTCTATTTTCCTGATGTCATTATTACTTTCTATCTGCCCTGAAATCTCGAGGCTCTAATTATTCCTCTTCGGGACAGAAGCAAATCTCTTATTTCACCTGGTCCTTACACTAAACTTCAGGCCAAATCATCTAATGAAGAATACAGTCCCTCCCTCAACTACATTCACCAGACATCAACTACTGCCAGTTTTCTTATATGATAAAACAATAGGCAAAATAGTCAGATCCAATTTTTTTTTTTCGGTTTTTCGAGACAGGGTTTCTCTGTGTAGCTTTGCGCATTTCCTGGAACTCACTTGGTAGTCCAGGCTGGCCTCGAACTCACAGAGATCCGCCTGCCTCTGCCTCCTGAGTGCTGGGATTAAAGGCGTGCGCCACCACCGCCCTGCCCGGCAGATCCAATTCTTACTAACACAATTACGACCTAGGCAACAGACATGCAGTAAAGATGAAAGCAATCAGTATGTAAAGTACTATTTCATAAAGGGCTGTGAAGGGAAACCCCGCTAAGGAGATAGAGGAGAGGAGGGGAAAGAGCGGTTTTCCGGTGTGATCGCACTGGAGGAAGTAACTTTTCAACTGAGAACTGAACGAGGAAACAGGAAGCCAGGACCTGGAGCAGAGGAAGTCAGATGGGCAACTACACATGCCAAAACCTAAAGATGGTTGCTCCTGACACTCAGGGATAGCACTAGCTACAAGGTTGGCTCTGCAGATAGGAGCTGGTAAGCCATCCTAAGCGGCTGGTGTTTTGCTCTAAAGCTATTGAACTTGATTGAACTCTCTTCCAGAGGAGAGTTGTCAGAGCTCATCCCCACACTGAGCTGAGCTTCAACTTCAGGGAAAGGAGGTCATATGGAAAGAGACTCTTTAAATTAGAATTCTAATTGAATGTGATAATGGCTATCTCATTTGTTTTAAAGCCATAGCAGCATTGGATTGTGTCCATGGGTGTTTTTGCTAGCAATAAACTTCCTGGCACAGAATAGGAAATGGATGAAAAGAGGGAAAAGTTGGAGCATGTTCAAAGGTACATCAGCCTCTCTATGAAAACACTCTAGAATAAGGAGATATGTCTTTCAATTATGTAATTAAATGCATCTCATGTATTAACTTTCTATAGATAGTGATCTCTATCTATAGTATAAGAATATTCATTTTCTTCTCACTGGATCTCCAATGTACTTACAACAAGTTGACTTTTTAAGTTTTTTGAAAATAATTATAATTAAGACAAAGAAAGCATTTTATTAATTTCTTTTCTTTTCGTTTTGTTTTTCAGTGTCCAGGAGGGGCATTTACACCCAATATGAGGACCACCAAGGACTTCCCCGATGATGTTGTCACATTTATTAGGAACCATCCTCTCATGTACAATTCCATCTACCCCATCCACAGAAGGCCCCTGCTCGTCCGCATAGGCACTGACTACAAGTATACAAAGATAGCTGTGGACCGTGTGAACGCTGCCGATGGACGATACCATGTCCTGTTTCTGGGGACAGGTAGGTGTTCATGCTCATGGTGTACTGTAACAGAATGCTCAGTAATTTAGGTAGAAAGGTAAAAGCAAAATATTGAGCCTAAAAGGATACCAACATTTCCTTTTGTTTAGCCATTAGTGGGGGCTTTAACTTCCTCCTGCCTCATATTTCACAGCTGTAAATGGAGTTAATAAAATAAATTACTTATGTGGTTGTGAGAAACAACTGAAGTTCATATATTCAAAGCATCCAAAATAGTTCCTCATCCATATTAAAGTGAAAAAGAAAAATAATCAGCTAAATTGGGGGCTAGAAGGATGTTTTAAATATGAACTGTGTTCTTCTGAAGTAAAGCAGTCTGTGACTTATTAATCAATATCTGGAGTCATTTTCCAGAGTGATAGTGATAGATAAGATGTTCTCTGTAACATTGGCAAGTGGACTTAAGTATAAATAGCTATTTAGAAAATATCATAGTTGCTATGTTAATAGAGCCCGCAATTCCTAAATTTTCTATTTCTTTTACCAGAAATTCAATAAAAATAGTCTTATTTCCACAGACTTGCCTTACTGGGGACAATGAGTTTGAAGTGTTTTATAGCACTGGTTCTCACAGTGTGGTCCTGAGACCAGAAAGATCAATATCACCCAGACCTTGTTAGAAATACATTTGTAGGCCCTCCTCCAAGAATGCCAGGTCGGAAACCCAGCCATCTGTGCTGTGGCAAGCCCTTCTGCTGCTTCTAATGCACTCTGTGTTTGCAAATCACTAGAAGGGAGAAAGGAGCCTTGGCCTGCTGGGCAGACAGGATTACAAATTCCATTCTTGCTTGACTCCATTTACACAATGTCTGCTAGGTTCCTCCATATTACCCAAGCAGAAAAACTCCACACACTTACTGCCTTGCAGGCAGTGATACAAATCTCATCAGTTGTCCCTCTAGAATGTAAAAACAACTCCATGAAGTACACAGTGTGTCTTCTAATTAAGGAAACAGATATAAAACAGGCCTGTGAAAGCCATTGTAAAATGTAGCGGTTGTGGAATATGTCCTCTAAGTTGAAGGAGTTGCACTCAGATTTCAATCAGCTTCAAAATGTGGTTACTTTTTCTTGGCTAAATAAAACTTCCAGCCTGCTCTTCTCATGAAGTTCTTATTTTATCCCTTCTTGCAGCTAAAACCTCGGATCTGGAGCTTTCATTCACACATAATTTTTGTTTGAAATCCTAGAGACAGAGAAACTTCTAAAATGTATTCTTTGGCATGCCTGAAAGAACCTGGGTTTTCCCTGCTCCCACTTCACTTGCCTGACTTCTGAAGCATAAAATCCTTCCTTCCTGATCTAACCATTCCTTAGATCTCGACTATCCTTCTGTCTCCAGGACCTTTGTTGCCAATTATTATCCTAATCCCTAGATTCTTCCATTTTATCCTATACCAACTTTGATTTAGGAAGCTTCTTCCACACACAGAACATGAGTGAGTATTCACCCCACTGCCAATTCTATTTCACTGCAGATTTCACCAGGGCCTTGAATATTCTCATCCTATAACCACTAAACTACCTCCCTGCCCTTGTACCATGTGGCATTTCAGAATCTCTCTTTGTCTGTTGGTTCAGCCATGTGGCATACAGTTCTTCCCCTCATTCTTCCTGCATGTTGGTATATCTGCAGGCTTTTTCCATGTCCTCCTATTCATATACATTCTTTTGACCACCTTGTTTATTTGTTTTGCTTTAATTATGTATCATGTGCAAACACATTTATAAAGTGTGTCATTAATCCTTGGCAACTCAATAGTTGAATTAGCGTTTCAAACACTGTTGTGCAAACTCCCTTTATACGCTTCCATAACTTTCTAACTAATACTTACACACTCCCCCATATTGTATTCACTCTGGTACATTCTTCTCGTGCTTTGATCTCTTTGTAGTCTATAATTTCTCTATAGGCATATCACAGGGTTTTGATAGCCCAATAAATATTTGTCAGGCTGAACTTAAAAGCATGAGTGTATCCACTGTTACCCAGGCAATAAAATTAATTCATGCATGTCCCCCAAAGACAATCTTCAATTGCATGTACATATACTTTCATAGATGATTCCTAAACTACTACAAAGAGTTGTATTTAAATCAACAGAATACTCAAGATGGAGTTTCATTGAAAAAACCCTGTATTTCTTGAAAGAAAGTGGCAGTGTAGAGTCCCGCTTTTCTCACTGTCTTGCGTTAGCTAGGTGGTTGTTTTCTGCTTGCTTGATTTGAAGCCTGTTTAGAAGGTGGATGTTGATGTAACTGTGAGGTTGCTTTCTTTTGAAAATCTATATAATATATGTAGATTTCATGGGTGGAATTTTAGTCTTTTAAAAATGTTCAGCACTGTTTATTTAACTAGAAGACAGCAAGTAGCATAGTTCTGCAAAGATGCTTCAGCTTTTCTTCCCACAGAAGTTCTGGCACCTTGACATGGATTTTTTGTATGTGTCTGTAAACACGTGTGTTGTTTCAAAAGCTGTCTTTGCGCAAAGGCTTTTAATTGTAGTGGAGGCTTTACTAATGATTGCTTGCAAAACCTCATGAGTGTCTTAAGGATTCGGTCCAAGTAGGAAAGTGCATGTTGTGGCAAGGTCTCTGCCCACAGCATCTTTCTGGAAAGATGGTCACTGACTTAACCACTGACCCTTGTCTATATTGTCCCACTAGACTGCACTATAATTTCTGAACAAATGTTTCAACATTCATGAAACTGGAATTACTAGTACACTGATATAAAATGAAATTTCTTTGAAAAAGATATTCTCTGTATATCATTATCATAACACCTTTTAACTTTTTCTGAAATGGCTTTTGGGAGAATCATGCACCATTGTCCTATGCATGACTAATTCTGTAAGTAAGTGGGAGACTGTCAAATTTTTTTAGATGTTGACAAATTTCTAAATACAGGAGAGTATTTCCACTGTCATGGATGAATAACGGTTCACCAATTATGGTGACAACAGAGAAAGCTATTATCATGGCTTCCCTTCTTCTCTTCTATCTTGAAACCTTCAAGGGAATTCAATGAAAGCAGCAGTTGTCAAGAAAGTTTCCATAGAGAAAACTGATGTGACAGGTCGTTGAAATTCAAATAGGATATTATGTAATTATATAAGTGTACCCAATGTGAATATTGTGAATGAAAGTGTTATTTTAAAAACTCATTATCATTATAGAATTTAATTGAGTCTTAGATGCTGATGATCTAACCTTCCAACCTGATCACCAGACAGCCAAGTAAATTATCAGGCTGAAGAGGTGGCTCATTGTTGAAAGGTTAAAGCTTACAGCCCAAATTACAAAAGCTAAGATTAAATTTTCCTTTTTGTGCCATGAAGTTCGAAGCACAATAAGTAAGTAAGTGAAGGCAGAGAGAAGCAAGACAGGAGAGCAGGAAGGGAGAATGAAGAGGGCCAGACAAGGAGGAGACAGACAGACATCACTTCAGCCAGCAAAGCCTACATAGATTCCTTGGTCTTTTTCAGAAAAAGATTACTACTGCTTATTTAGGTTGATAAATATAGAATTTTCATAAAGTTAAAGGAGCTGTTTTCTAGTCCATGGAGGCTGTATAGGTATCCATGTTTCCCCAAATAAAAATTTCTTTTATATATTACATACTATTTTGTTAAAATTTAAGCCAAGTCTACTTAATTATTTTCATATAATTCCTTCTACTACCCCTTAAAAACTTCATTTTGTGTGTATATAAAATCAACTATTCGTTTTAATCACTAATATTTAATTTTTCTTATTCTTTAGGAAGGTTTTAACATGCAGGCAAAAGCTATCATGGGATTACTATTTCTCTTTTAGCTTTGCCATCTACCACTTATCTCCAGGCCATTGGCCCAAAGCAGACTCTGTTACACAGTCAAGAGATTGTAGCCTCCTTTCCCTTTGCTTCTGGAGTTATGAAAATATTTTAGTGTCTGGGTAAGGTTCAGACACATTCTGTCAAGTCCACGTTTTTAGCACTACATGTGAATTAGAATGATGTGACTTTTGATGAAAGGGTTCTTGTGAATGGGTGTTAAAGATTTAGGATGATTTAATAGCATTGTGGTTTTTAAAGGTAGGATCAGTGTTTGTGGTCCTCCACCACAACTCTTTTATGGACTCTGCCATTTCATGCTTCTGATTAGCTTCTGTTTAACTGGATGAGCACAGAGTCGGGGTATTGGCTCCAGGAAGTCTTCCCAGTATGCAGAATTCTGAAGTATGTGCACATGTGTGAGCAGAGCCTGAAAATGCCTGTCTGGCAACACTGGAGAATGACTGCTTCCTTCATAACTAGAGGTGTTGGCAGTTGCTGCTCTTGAAATGGCATCCTGAATGAGCTGCTGTGCCAAGAATTCTGAGTTTTTAAAGAACTCTCTAAAATACTAGTGCAAAATTTGATAGCTGCAGAAATGTGTTTGATTTGGGAAAAGACTACCATCATTTGAGAACTACTCATGAAAATCCTCTAAGGATGATGTACACAATTCTCCCTCATTTAGGAGTGGAGAACAAACCTCTTTAAAGTCACTTGGGTTTTATGACTATGTGGGTCACTTCCTGCCAGGACAGGATCTGGAAACTTCTGAGAGTTTATCATCAGTTCTGCAGGGATTTTCACAGCAGTCAGGACTGATGGGACACAGTGGAACCATGGCTGAACTGAGGGGAGGAAGATGATAATCTGTGTTGCCATGGCTGCTTTATCACGTGAAGAGTAGCAAAGAGGGGAGTGGTGAGGAGAAATCAGAAAATGATCCTCTGTCCACAGACAGGTGCTCTCCCATGAACTGTGCCTTGTAAGATGCGGACATGGTGCAGTGGGTACAGACTTAGTATGTAAACCTCGCAACTTGAGTGTGAATCTGCAGAACCCACCTAAAAGTCAGAGGCAGTAGCATGTACATTTGTCATCCCAGCAGGTCCATGGGGAGACAAGGACACCCCTTGGCAGTCTATAAGCCAGTTAGTCCAGC